GGAGTGATATTGAACCTGCAATTCATAGACTATCACCTGTTTCTTCTTTCTATTGGTGTCTATTTGAAGTGTTCTATATTTGATGGCTCTTGAGTTGTTTTGCATCCTGGGTTATGTTAGAGGTAAACAAAAATTTGTACATTACTTGTACACCAAGTGTATCCCAATAATTGTCTCCTCAGTGCATTGACAATTGTTGTGTGTGTGTGTGTGTGTCTATGTGTGTGTTTCTGTGATGCATACAACAGGTGTATAAATCTTTGTATGCACCAAGCTTTATTATTGCATAATAACAATTCTCTCACTTTTTAGTTGTTTTGAAGTTCTGTGTAAGTTCAAATTGAGTAACCTGTCGGTCAATGATACAGAGTATTAATCTGTCGGACTTGTGTAAATAGAAGATAGTGATATGGGTTTGTAACGAGACGAGCATATGATAGGGTTTGTTGGAAACTTTTTGGCTTATAATATGTGTGAAATTTAAAACGTTTTTAGCACTTCATTTTGTATGACATAAAGTGTTAATATATCCTAAATGCGTTGAAGGCGGAAACAATAACTCAAAAAACGCGTGTGTGCCCCTCGCGTAAGCGGCGAGGCCAACAACAACTCCAAGAATACCGATATTTGGCTTTGAAAATCCAATGTTTATCTTCCTATATATTTAAATCTCGAAGGAGTGTAAAAGGTGAGGGAGGTTTACATTCTAGAGCATGTCATTAAAAAACTATTATGATCCCAAGCTTTGCATAGACACACATAAATAGCTATAGCTAGTGTAGATATTGCCATTTTAGATGTCCATCGTGTTATGCACCGATGTCCAACTTCGGATGGATGACCAATGTCCATTGTTTTCAACTTTCTCACATACATGGCACGAAAAAACAAGAAAACCAGATACCTTAAAGGAAATAACATACACGGAAAAGACAAAAGAATAGTAAAATAGTTATTTTTAATATTTTATCTAGTTTATATATCATATAATTTTTAGTGAAGTATAGATGAAAGATTGAACGTGATCGATTGTCAAAAATCAAAACTGCACAAAGGAGGGAACTGAGGTATTATGATTTCAGAAATAGAATAAGAAATAAGGTAAGCCAATAGGTTTAAATTCAATCTCAATCATTTTAATATTAACAAATATTCTACCGATTAAATATTTGTTTAGTATTCATTACTTTTTTTAGTCCTTGTAAAATATGCGAGTTTTATTTTTGGTCCCTGTAAAATATTTTTTGTTTAGGTCATCTATACAGTATTTTTTATTTTGAAATTAAAACTTTTAATTTGTTGACATCGTACATTTATTTCGTATTCAATAGCTTAATATTGCATTTCTTATTGCTTCTCACATAATTTCCATGCACTATATTGTGTCCTTTATAAAACTAAATCTTCAACTCTCAAATTTTTATTATATTAATAAGAAATGTGAGAATTAGAGATGTAATATGAAGAAAGCACAATGGCGTTGTTTGTATTGAAAGCACAAAAAATGACTACTTTGTATACAATTTACTCTCGAGCCAACGTGTGAAATTACAGAATATGCATAAGCTAAGCAGTCAATATTCATACATATCTCATTGTGAAGTGGGGTGTTGCCCGGTGTCAGGCCAATTCAAGGTTCTCATTATTGTGCGTTGGCTTTGGAAAAAAATCCAAGTGGCAAATATACAGACTTTGGGTAATAGTGAATGGAGGAGTCTGGACGATGCACCCTTTTCAACGATTTGAAGGGGTGTATTTGGTGGTTGTTTTTTGAACGGGTTTAGTCATTGGATTAGTGATGACTATATATTGTCCTTTCATTTTGGGACAGAGATTTTCTCGAGAATTCCATTTCCCGATGGTGTCATAATTGAGGCCTATAAGCGTAAAGTCTCAAGCATTTTTGATGATTGCCTATGTTTGAGTTGTTTTCGCAATGCTAATAATGTTAGTGGTGTGATTGACCTATGGATTATGAAGGAGTATGGTGTAAAAGAATCTTGGGTTAGACAATTTACCATAGTAAATGATGTATGTCGTGTGCCAACGCCAATAATGCACATGGGCAAAGGAAAGATACTCGTGTGGAATAGATTTGAATTATATTTATATGATCTTCAAACCCAAGTTTCTACTAGAGTGGAGTTTGAGCTCTATGGATGTTATCGCCTGGTGCTGCCGATCATGGCATTTGATGCGAATTTCTCAAGGATTTAGAAGTTCATTTAAACACTTATGTTATTTGTTGCCAAGTTTTTTTTTTAAATTTATTAACTCCATTGTTTTGTATCTTAGCTTCTTTAAGACTTTTATACATGCCAATTTTTTATTTTAAGCTTTAATGTAATGAGACTTTTATACATGTTTTGTGTTTGTTTCTTCATCAATGAAAAATCTTCCATAAAGCTTTAATGATATGAGATTTTTAGCTTCAAAATTTTAACTCATTTTTTGAACTGTTGTATATATAGCTTCTTTTAAGCTTCAATGTTTAGTCGTATGCATGTTCAAAAGTAATCAATGTTTAGCCTTTTGAATAGGTCCATCTTGCTAACACTTTGATAGTTTGATTGAAAGTTAGTTTCTTTGATCTATTTTGATGTCAATCCCTTTGTGCAAAAAAGAACTTGATATTACGATTTATGATATTTGATTAAAGTTATTATTTATTTAATTATTATAATATTGGTACAAAATTAAATAAACCAAATTTATAAGTCAAAAGCTCTACAAAAGAAGAGAGAAGATGACGGTATTATTCTAAAAAAATATATTCTGAAATAAAGAGAAGTTTGACTATTTGAATAATAAATAGAAATCATCTTAAATAGGACTAAAACATAGAGAAAAGTACCAAAATAGGACTTTCATGTTTTTTTTCCCGGAATAGGACTTTGCATTGTGGTAATGTGACTTTGCATTGTGGTAATGTGGCAGTGTACATGTGCAAATTACTATACTTTCTTGGTAATGTATATGACCATGTTTGGTAATGTAAGTCCTATTTCGGAAATAAAAACATGGAAGTCCTATTTTGGTATATCTTCAATGTTTTAGTCCTACTTTGGTCTTTCTCCCAATAATAAATGTAAAAATCTTTCCTTGTTTATTTAACACTAGTATCACACCCGTGCATTGCACTGGTCATTCAGATCATTTTTAAATGATAAAAAATAAGATACAATAGAATATAGAGATTATATTATTTTAAGGTACAGAACATCAATGTTTTACAAATTTTGAAAGATTTCTTTAAATACTACATTATTTATAGTCTTTGTGGGAGTATTGTCTTCATTGTATATTAGAATCTTTAATCCACTACGATTAGTTATTCTTGAAACTACAACATAGAGTTGTTCATGACTAAACACAGGTTTCCGTAACAGTAGTCCAACATGTTTCTGAGATTGTCCCTCGCTCTTGTTAATCGTCATTAGATACGAAGTAACCACATGGAATTGTCTTCTTTGAAACTTGAAAGGAATTCTTGTATCGGACGGTGTTAATGATAGTCTTGGAATCACAACTTCTTCACCCATGTGGCTTCCTGATTAAATTTCTCCTTGTATTGAGTGATTAGCCAATCAGGTTACTATAACCGTGTACCATTACATAAACCCATTGAATGATCAATATTTCTCAACAACATAATAGGCGTGCCTACCTTCAGTGTTAATTCATGATTCGATACTCACCTTTTTAATCATTTCCAATTTAAATTAATCACGTTTGGAAAGTTTTCCATAAATGGGAATGAGTCAAAACCGTGTAACATTAATGGCCCGTGCAAACGAATTATTATTACTTTAAATTACTTACCATTTTAATTGTTTCACATAATCAGGTTGGCCATTTTAGCGTTTTTTTACGGCACGTTATTATTTTATTCAATTATTTATTATAATTATTGTAATTGACCCATTACCATTTAAAGTGAACATTTACCATTTTTTTTACAATACCAAATGGGTGAGATTAATAAAAGTACGTTTACAATAAAGGTAAGTAGGTTAATAAATAATTGCAAATTTAAATTACTCACTTTTTTAATCATTTCCAATTAAAATTAATCATGTTTGGAAAGTTTTCCATAAATGGGAATGAGTCAAAACCGTATAACATTAATGGCCCGTGTAAAAAAATTATTATTATTTTAAATTACTTACCATTTTAATTAAATTATAACGTGCCGAATAAATAATTAAATTAAATTGTTCATTTATTATATTGTAATTGACTCATTACCATTTTTAGTGAACAATTACCAAATTTTTTTGCAATACCAAATGGGCGGGATTAATAAAAGTAAGTTTACAATAAAGGTAAGTAGGTTAATAATTAATTACCAATTTAAATTACTCACCTTTTTAGTCATTTCCAATTCAAATTAATCACGTTTGGAAAGTTTTCCATAAATGAGAATGAGTCAAAACCGTGTAAAATTAATGACCCGTGCAAAAGAATTATTATTACTTTAAATTACTTACGATTTTAATTGAGTCATTACCATATGAAGTGAACAATTACCATTTTTTTTGGAACACCAAATGGGCGGGAAAACCAAATTGAGAATCCATGGCTTTTTAAATAAAGTATGGATGTGTGGTGTGATCTTAAAAGAACTTGAGGATAATGTTTTTTTAAAGAAAAAATACAGCGCATAAAACACTGGTTTAGAAGTTCATAGCTTTTGAAAAGATTTACCAATGACAACATTTAACTCTAGCATTTTCAAAATTAAACAGTTAAACAACATAGTTAAAATTATTTGAAATGTTAATATTAATTGAAAACATTATTTTCAGACAAGGTCTACAACTAATTTAATATAATTAATTATTTAATTGTACCAATAAAATTAGTTTATTTTTAAAATAAATGAAAGGTTTAAAGTGTCGTATATGGTATGAACATATGAATATTAAAATAATGTTGAATTAAAGAAATAAATCTTTTTTCAGTATATTTTTCAATTTCTGCAGTACATAAAGGCTCATTCTTTTCAACATATCTGATTGGTTTCGATCTAGTTAGATTAAGTTTTGATATGATTGTAGTTATATTTAAAAATATTTGTGATCGTTTCAAGGGCTTGTTCCGTCCAACTTAACTTTTCAACTTATTATTTATTTTTATTAAAGTCATATCAAATCAAGTCAAGTTAGACAAGGCGTCCACACCAATTAATTAGATCAGATAATTTTTTTTAAATATAATTAGAATAGGATTGCCAAGGCGCCCACACAAAGAATAAATACGAAACGAAGAAGTGAAGAACGATTTAGTGAAAAAAAGACCTATTTTGTGAATTGCTGCACCAGGAAAAACACAGACGAAGAGAATACGAAACTCAACCCTAGGTACCATTTATCTCTTTTGTCCCTCTCTTAGCATTTGAGATTTGTGTTTGTAGAATTGCAGTCTGAATGGATATATCTATGATCGATTGATTATCGGATTAGGTTTGGTTTAACCCAATCATATAATCTTCTTCATCTTATTTTCCCTATGTGGTAAGTAATGTGCTTTAATTTGGTGCTTGCATATCAGAAAGAATTTTCTCTCTCAATGATTATTACTTCAATTCACTGCCCAAACAATTTCCCCTTTGTGCATTGAGTAATCCAAGAAACTTGTTTTTCACCAACAGATGATGGCAGTGAAACAGCACCAACCCTTTCCAGAAATACCCTCTGCCCTGTTGTGGGAAATTCTGGGTAGGCTTCCGATTAAGACGTGTTTAACTTGCAAGCTTGTTTGCAAAGAATGGTATCATGCCATCGCCAGTCCCGATTTCTCTTCTTTCCTCTGCCGTTTTATGGCCCCCCAACTTAACGTCTTGTTTTGTTGTTACTCGGGCGCTACTGTGAGATCTACTTTCAATTTGATTGGGCTTGAAAAGGGTTCGAATGTCGATGATACAGGTAATTGTATTGTGGGTGTTGATGATCGGATTAGGTTTAAGCCGAAATTTGACATCTCGAGTGAGATTTTGTATGTGTGCTATCGTGGCAATGGTCAATAGAGGTGGCAATCGGATCAACCGGATCGGTTTCGGGTTGGATTTTTTCGGTTCGGATATCTTTCGGTTATATGTTATAATCGGTTCAGTTCGGTTCGGATCGGTTAAATTTCGGTTCGGATTTGATTTCGGTTCTATACATTTTTCGGTTCGGTTCGGTTTCGAATCGGTTCAGATACGGTTCGGTTATAAATCAGTTCGGATAGATTTCGGTTCGGATACAATTTGAGTCGGATATATTTCGGTTTCGGGTCTAGTTCGGTTCATATATATTTCGGTTTCGGATCAAATATATTTTGGATATATATTATTTTCTAATCTTCCCCTTTTGAATTTTTAGTCATATTTTACAATTTGGACTACAAATTATGAAAACATATATATTTAATTATGATATAAATTTAATATAATTAATTTGATTTTGAAATTTAGTTTTGAAATATAAAAATTTTCTCACATCTACTAATATACTTATGTATATAAATGAAAGGATAAAAGATAAATTCAAATAGTCTTATGTTCCATTTGAATAAAATTTGTAAATTGTTGAGTATATTTGGTTGAAAATAGAGAAAATTAAATTTAATAGAGTCAAATATAATTAATTTTACACCTAAATGTAATGGTGTAGATCAAATTTGAAAATGATAACAGTAAAGGCTGCCGCTAGAGAGTCTTTTCAAAATGCTAACACTAACATTTAATTTTATTGACTAATATTGAGTGAATGGGTTTGAAACTAATCAAATTAACTCTCAAATCAATAAAATTTATTGTAATGAGATGAAATTAGGATAAAATCTAATTATTCCATACAATTTATCATATATATATTCCTTTCGTTCCAAAAAGAANTTTATATGTATAACTTATCTTTAATTTCTACATATAATAAATTTAAGGCATAAAAATTTGTACTTTTTTTCAAGAAGATAATTCATTTTATGAGGGAAGGAGCAAGTAATATAATGTAACTAGTTCAAATGGTAAAATAAAAGTAAAAATTTAAAAATATAATATGCTTATTGAAAGGTAAACATAGTTCTGAATTTATCGATTTTATTTCTAATCGAGTTCGGATATTATCGGTTTCAGATCTAATCGGTTTCGGATTTTATCGGTTTCGGGTATTATCGGGTCCGGATCTAATCGGTTTCTGGTTTAATCGGTTCGGATATTATCGGTTTCGGATTTAAATCGGATATGAATTATTTAGTTCGGTTTCGGTTCGGTTCGGATCATTTCGGGTTTTCGGTTATAGATCGGATCTTCATTTTTCGGATCATTCCGGTTTCAGTTTCGGATATTTCGGTTCGGGTAATCGGTTCCGGTTCTGTTTTGCCAGGTCTAGCAATGGAGTTGTTTTGTTGGTGTGTACAAAGGACGACTACTTCGTATGCAATTTGCTCGCGGGCCAGTGGATGAAGTTACAAAATCTGCATCAAATAAGGGACCAATCTTATGATGTTTCTCGTTGTGAGCTGGGGTGTTGCCCGGTGTCAGGCCAATTCAAGGTTCTCGTTCTGCTTTGGGATGTGGAGAGGAAGATCCAACTAGCAAAGATCCAGACTTTGGGTGATGGTGAATGGAGGAGTGTGGGCAACTCACCCTTGAAGATTGTGAGGGGTGGATGTTTTCTGAACGGGTCTAGTCATTGGCGTGATGACAAGTGTATATGGTCCTTTCATTTTGGGGAAGAACGGTTCTCGCCAACCCCAATCCCATTTCCCGATGATGTCATCAGTGAGGCCTATAAGAAGAAGAGTAAAATCTTGTGCGTTTTCAACTATTGTCTATGTTTGAGATGTTCCTCGTGCGTTGTTGGTGATGAGATTGACGTATGGATAATGAAGGAGTATGGTGTGAAAGAATCTTGGGTGAGGCAATTTGTCATAGTGAATGATCCATGGAGTGTGCCTCTAATGCATATGGATGAGGGGAAGATACTTGCGGAGAGTGGAAACAAATTATATTTATATGACCCGCAAACTCGGGTTGCTAAGACAATGAACTTTGACGGGCTTTCTGGGTGATGGGTGCCGCCCGTGGCACTTGATGCAAGTTTCTTGAGGTTTATAAATCTTATCAAATTATTATGTTACTCTTTGCCTAGTTTTTATTTATTTATCTGTTGGCTTAGTTGTGTTAGAGTTTTTTTGAGATAACCTATGGTAAAACTGCCTACCTTCTCTTTTGAGCAAAAGAAAGGTTTTTTTTTTTTACAAAAGAACCAGCATTTTGATCTCTTAGTTTAGCATTAAAAGTGTGTATTTTTACTACTTAAATGACTTTGCATTTTCTTGACACTTATTTTTTTTAAAAGCAGTTTGATTTATGGAGCACTTACTACGAGTGTGTTTGGTTGGGGTAAGGAAATTTTTTTTACCCCACATAAAAAATGATTTGAACCAATCACACCCTACAAGTTGGATAGTTTTGGTCTAAATATTACAGAGTACCTTGATATAAATGTCCACGTTTGGCTTTGTTGAGTCCTAGCATTCATTGAAAACATACATATTTGGGGCTTAGGGGGAGGCTTCAGGTGTGTATATATATATATATATATATATATATATATATATATATATGTATATATATATATGTATATATATATATATGTATATATATATATATATATATGTATATATATATATATGTATATATATATATATATATACAATTTAGTTCCTTTCATTACAAGTATTTTTCCTTTATCCATATGAATTAGAGGCACCCTCCAATGATGATTCACTATGACAAATTGTCTCACCCAAGATTCTTTCACGCCATACTCCTTCATTATCCATATGTCGAGCTCAACTCTAACACCATATGAGAAACAACTCAAACATAGACAAGAGTCGAACACAAGCAAATCTTTATTCTTCTTCTTCTTCTTCTTCTTATAAGCCTTAGTGATGACGTCATCGGGAAATGGGATTCTTGAGAAGTGTTCTTTCTCGAAATGAAAGGACCATATACAGTCGTGACCATCCCAATGACTAGACCCGTTCAGAAAACACCCACTCTGCCAAAACCTCATGGGTGCATTGCCCAGAGTCCTCCATTCATCATTACCCAAAGTCTGTACCTTTGCCAAATTAGTCTTATCAAACTTGTCGTGAAGAAACATGAGAACCTTGAGTTGAATTGACACCGGGCAACGCCCTATCTCACAAAGGGATATAGAAGAAGGTCGATCCCCAGAGGCGGATCTATTAAGAGTCCCATGAGGTCCCGGGACCCCACGGACCCTGATGTAAGTACATATGCATATTAGGTTTAGTTTGATATTCTATATATAGAAAAGAAGCCTGAGATGAACAATGTGTCGAGATAGTTCAGTGGAAGCGCTGGTTCTCCACCAAGCAGGTAGTGCCGTGTTGCCCGTGTTCGGATCCTAGACGCTGGGTTTTCTCTTGGGCAGACGAATGCCAATTTTTTTCTTAGGGTAGTTTGTTTTAATGTTGCTTTCAATATTTTTTAAAAATCTTTTTGAAAATGAGTATAATTTACGAATTTAATTGATTGTTAATTTAGACTTTATAAATTGTTTAAAGGTAAGCACTCAAAAAATTTGTTTAAAGACAAATTTTTAGTGTCATTTCAATCGTAAATCTAAAATGTCTCATTAATTATTGTCTCTTAAAATTGAATTTACAATTCTAATATATTTGAAAAAACACTCAAAATGCAAACAACCAAAATCTTGTGGAAGTTATATGGATTTAATACAGAGTACTAATATTTTAGTGTCCCAAGTAAATACTCAATCTTTACCTATTAACAAAAATTCAAAAGTCATTTCAATTTGAATCTTTAGAGGTTGGCTCTCTCTTAAGAAAGAAAATATTCAATGTTCATCTGAGTATTAAAAATAAGATATTTCATAGTTATCTTCAAAAAAGTTTACAAACCTTAATACAGTAAATTTCTTTCTAAACTAATTAGTGGAAAGAAGCATAATTTTGTTTATTCTTGGTTTGACCAATTGTAAAATGTCTTTGTAAAATACTAGTAATAATTATGATACTATGTATATCTAGGTCAGTAACATTGGATAAAATCAGGGGGTGGACGGCGGTTACTTCGGTGCCTCTTTCAAAGTGAGGGTTTTAAAACCCTCCCCATTTGGCTCAATGAGAAAGAGACATGTGGACACAATATTCTACCTCTTTTAAAAACTTAAATTATTCTTTTTAACTTAATATTAGCCCCAATCCAAATTTAATTTATTTTTCTTCCATTCAACGCAATCTTCATTAATTGTTTTGCGTCTCCATCTCCATCCAACCAACATCGTATTTTCCAAAGGAGTCTCCATCGCTGCCGCCTTCGTTCAGAGTCGTTATCTCCATCCAGCGCCATCGACGGATTCAGCCCTTCAAATTTAACCCTAGATCGGCTCAATTTCTTGCTTTATTTCTCTCGGATTCTCTTCTATCAATTTTTTCATTAATTAAATGTCATTCTTGTGAGACGTACGAGCATTATGTCCTGAAATCTTGTTTTCTTGTTCCAAATATGTCTACTTCTCGTTTTTAGTTTGATTTCCATCATTTGTATTCTTTTAAAGATTAGTCTAACTTTAGATATAAATAAAAAAACTAGATATAAAAAATAACAAAAATGAGAAAAATAACTGAAATCTTATATTTAACATTTTTATACTTATTTTTTATATTTGATATTTTATACTTATTTTTTTATAAGATAAGAATAATATTTAAAAAAAGGAAAAAGAAATTTATTTAGAAAGTTTTTTTAAAAAACTTAAATAAATATTTAAATAAATAAATAAATAAAATCACTAAAAATAATCCCAACTTTCATTTTGTTGTATTCTTTTAAAGATTAGTCTAACTTTAGATATAAATAAAAAATAGATATAAAATATAACAAAAATGAGAACAATAACTAAAATCTTATATTTAATATTTTTATACTTATTTTTTTTATTTTATATTTTATACTTATTTTTTATAATATAAGAATAATATTTAAAAAAAGGAAAAAGAAATTTATGTAGAAAATTTTTTTAAAAATTAGATAAATATTTAAATAAATAAAAACAAAAATTCACTAAAAATAATCTCAACTTTCATTTTGTTGTACAAAACAGGCCGTTTTAACCCGTTGTTAACAAAATAATAATTCATGGTGTCAAAATAAATTAATTTTAGATTGGGACCAATATTGAATTAACAAGAAAAGAGGTGAAATATTATGTCCACATGTCTCTTTCTTATTGTGCCACACTAGATTCATACCCGTGCGTTGCACGGGAAAAAAAATTCAAAACAAAAATTTAAAAATATTTAAGTATAAATATAAGATTCAAATAAAATCAAATACGGTATTGCACCACTAAATCAAAATGAATAAATTACTTCATTCAGTTTTTAATAATTACTCCTTCCTTTTGATTGTTTTTATCTCATTAAATATTTACAGATTAAACTAAATTTACTTTTTCAAATATTTTCATCTATGATTTATTGTACTCATGACACATCTTATTTTGTAAAATGTTTATGTAGTCTTTAGATATATAATTCTAATTTTTTAATTCTACAAACATCGATATTTAAATACATTCCGTCAAAAAAGTTTGTATCACACATCATGAGTTGAGTGTAATAACTCTATGTGTTTTAATAGAGGTATACTCAATTTTCTGGTAAGATCTCTCAGATCCCACATCATGTGAAATGAAGTCTGAGATCCTTATAATTTGGGTAATGAACTTTGAGACTACATTATGTCTATATGGCTTTAGACTTAAAATTCCGTTATTTTAATAAATACTAAATTTTACCTTTATACTTATTATTTTATTATATTTTAATAAAACCCTTCAATTTGTTAAGGTAACACAATTTTCAATCATAACATCTAAATAGGCGAAATGTACCTTTAAAGTATAAAATTATAAATTTCAAGAACCTTAGCGTATACTTTAAATAACGTGGGACTTGACAATTCTTAAAGAAAATTGAAGACTAAGCGACGTATATTTTAGATAATGTAAACTTGAGAGTTCTAAACTGAAAATCAAAGATATCATGGAGTAATTTTTGAAAAATTATTTATTTTTTAAATCTAACTTTTTTCAAAGTAGAAAAATGTTATAAGAGCATCGTTTCTCACTTTCCCCTTATTCTTTAATTTGTACTACTAATAACATTAGTGATTGCATTTAAACACATACCCCTGAAATAGTTTTTGAACGCTAGAAACGAATGCATTCTATCAACAACTTTCAAAAAATCCTGCATCAACAAAGGCAATGTATTTGATCCTAGACATAATAATATACCCCCTCCGTCCGAAAATGTTCTTCCCATTTTCATTTTTGGTCCGTCCGAAAATGTTCTATCCATTTTCTTTTTTAGTCTACTTTTTAAGGATAAATTTTAATTATACTTTTCTATTTTACGACTAATCTACTTTTTTTTTATTTTTTTTAATAAGAAAAGAAGCTCTAAAAGTTTATAGTACCTGCATTTTTGAAAATTTTACACTTTTTTTACTACTTCATCCTTAATAAGCGTGCCAAATCAACACGTGAAGAACATTTTGGACGGAAGGAGTAAAAATTTAAAAGGTTTTGCATTTATTCTTGGATGTTCAAAGAATCATGAAAACACTAAAAAAAATATTTAATTCAAAAAATAGACTCCAGGATTTATAGTTATTTGAAGTTATTGCTTCTTAAAAAAAGAACTTTATTTGAAATTTAAAGCTGAAAACATATTAATCCATTTGAATTGAAACAATAACTTACGTGAAGATGTTACTAAAGAAAAGATTTTACCAAACCTAAAAAGTTAATGTTCAAAGCAAAATAAAAATCTTTATAAGAATGTTCATGTAAGCATGTTCATATAATGTGTAATATTTACTCTTTGATCAAAGTTGTGGAACATTGAAAACATAAAACACATGCACCAAATTAAAGTATCAACTTTTGAATACATTCTATGTTAGCATCCATCTCTCGTGTTTGGGATTGTGTTCATGCATGCTTATTTACATCCCAATATAAAACTTCTATTTTATAATGTATATCATTAATTATACAGAAACCATTATTTTCTATATTTATATACTTTTATTTGATATGAATGGATTCAAAAAGTATTTTAAAAAAAAATTAAGATTTTTGCAATATATTTTTACATGCATGTTTTTATATTTGTCGATATATATTTATATACAGGGTATATATATTTTGATCATTATAAAACTTTCAATTGTTGGATATTTTTAAAAATTACTATATTTTCGAACTCCTAAAATATGTTACCTTCTTACTATAGAAAACAACATGAGACTCCCACCCTCACGCCCCCCCTCAAGAGAGTTGGTACGTGACAACATCAATTGCAATGTCAAAGATCCCATTGTCCGGCTTACTCTCCTAGCAAAAGTAGTAAATAGAAATTGATAAATACATTTAATTTTTCCTTGCTGAGTTGTTTAAGGGCATATCTAAGAAGGGAGATTATATAAGGCCTTGAATATGAAAAGACATTGGCCGTGTTTGAAAAACAGCATTTGGGTTAGCTTTTGGCATCTTTGACTGACTTTGGCTTTTTTGACCAAGCGAACCGCCAAAACCATTGTTTGGCTAATGGCTTTTTCACTTGGCATTTTGATCCGAAAAGCCAAAATCTCAAATGCCAAGGTGAGTAGCATTTGGACTTGGCGGTTAGGAAAAATATTTTTTTTAAAATCATTTTTGTTGAAATATATTTTATAATATATGTAAAAAATAAAAATAAAAGTTAAAAAAATTAAATACGAAAAAATAAAATGAAATTAAAAAAAATTATATTTATAATTCATTAAAAAATTTATATTTATAATTTATTATGAATTAAATGAAATTAAAATTTAATATTCCATATAGTAAAGATTTAATTTTTACATGTAAAAAAATGAAAAATAAATATCATGTATATATATATGTGTGTGTGTGTGTATAATTTTTTATTTAATTTTTTTAATTTTAAAAAAATATATTTATGATATGATATTTAAAAAAATTGTAAAATAAAATATACCATAAATGGAGGGATGTCCTTTTATGTAATTTTATTTACAAACAGCTAACTATAAACCGCTAAAGTTGCCAAACACTTAAAATTTAACTGCTAACAGAAACAATCGGTCAAAACAGCTAACTCAATCAGCCATTCAAATCAGCTAACATAAACAGTCAACAGCCAACTGCCAACTGCTAGTATCCAAACAAGGCCATTGATAAAGAGTACAAGGTACATTTAATAACATGAAAATTGTAACAAAGCATGGAAATTAAAGTATTGGCTTGGAGATTGGAACGGGCATGGTGGGTATTACTCACATTAAATGCAATTAAATGCTTCAAATGAATTAATTTATTTTGCATCGAGCAATGCTAGGTTCACAAATAGAATACTCACAAACTACACAAACTTACTATTTATAATTTAAAATTTTATTTTAAAATCATTTTAGACCATTTAATTTTTTCTCATGAAAGTTTACAAATAGTAAGTTTGTAAAGTTTATGACTATTGTGTTTGTGAGCCAAGCATTTCCCTTTTGCATCTTTTCCATGCAGTAATTGAAGCCACAAATCTTAACTTCAGAACATCATCAACGGTGCATATTGCACTGCCCATTGGGCAAAGGCCGGATTCTTATAATATAATTAATAAAAGCAATTAATGATTGTAATAATTGGTGGCGCCTTCAATTAATCCCAAATAGCACAACACACCCAAAGAATAATCATAGCCCTTGATTTATCTGAAAAAATTAGATCCACGCACCAGATTTAGCAGAGAATTGGGCGGGAAAACACAATTTTTTCCCTTTTTTTTCCTTTCCCAATTCTTTTGCTTTTGTATAGAGTATAGATGGGGAGGGTTTTAAACCCTCACTTTAGAAGAGGCACCGAAGGATTGGCCGGGGTGGACAGGTCAATTTGGAAACCGGACTCCCAACCAGTTTGGACTATCCCTTGAAAAACCCTAGAAACCCAAATTAACACAGAAAACTCGCAACCTAGCGGCCACACTGATTCTTTGCTCCTTAGGGTTTAAACATTGATTTAAATAGAAAATATTTTTTGAGTTTATTTCTAAAAGATACGAAGTATGAATTAGCTCAAGGTAAAAACTCAAAGGTAAGAAAATTTAGGACCCCATGGTCCAAAAATCCTGGATCCACCTCTGTCGTGAGCAAATTGCAAATGAAGCAGTTGTTCTTTGCACTCATTAAGCAAACAACCCCATTGCAATGAGACATCAAAGTATTTATCTTGTTGGAGCTGTCAATTTTCGGACGAAACCTAATCATATCATCAACACCCACAACACAATACCCGAAATCGTCGAATTCAAAAGCCTTTTCAAGCTCAACTAGCTTGAAGGTACCACCATCACCAAACTCTTGAAAGAACATGGTAAAACGGGAGGCTACACAATGGCGTCAGAAAGAAGAGAATCCTGGATCCACGATGACGTGATACCATTCTTTGCAAACAAGCTTACAGGTTAAACATGTCTTCACGGGAAGTTTACCCAGAATTTCCCATAACAGAGCAGATGGGATTTCTAAAAAGGGTCTACATGACTCTTTCACCTTCTTCATCTGTCAATAGTAAATTGAAGCAGTAATTGAGGGGGTGAATTCTTCCTAATACCAGAGCACATCAACGAATAGGGAAAAGAAGATTTGTACTGAGTAAAGTTTAATTCCAAATACAATTTGTGAAAATCAAATCATCACCCAGTAAAGATTGAGAGAATTCAATTCAAATCCTATCATCGATCATAAATACGGAATTGCATACAAACTGTACAAACACAAAACCCTAATATAAAAGATTTACCCTTTCGTCTTCAAATCTCCTTCAGGCCATTCCTTTTCTCTCTTGTTTGAGTTTTTTTTACCCTATGCTATTATAATTCCGGGTAAGCATAAGAAATGGGCCGGATCAGTCGACTTTTTTTGTATTTGTTTTTGGATGAAAAGGTCACTCAACTGTGGTAAATTTTATAATTAGTCTTTTATAATAAAATATCTTTTCATATTTTATCTTCGATTATCAAATATTATTCTCATGCTCTATCTTTTAAGGGATATCTTTCTATAAATAGTGATTTTTTTAATATTCGATCATATTGGTGTAAATTTGTAGGCTAAAACTATAATTTGACATCAATTTTATTTCTATATGAGTAAAATTCTATAATTAATCCTTTATAATAGAAAATCTTTTTATATTTTATCTTCTATTATCAAATATTACTTTTATGGTCTATCTTTAATAGATATCTTTCATAACTAGTCTTTTTTACCTTCTGCCATATTGGTGTTATTCTATGGGCTAAAATTATAATTTGACATCAACCTTATGTTCGATGATGCATTCTGATATCGGTTAAATGGATAACACAACAATAATGACTATAATTATGGACTTGATTTTATAACAAAACACCACATATTTATATTATGGTTGTGTAGATTATTCTAGTGGACACAACAATAATAATAATAAATTACATTTAATAAAAAAAAAGTACATTAAATTTTAAAAATACCAAAAAATTACATTGATTAAAAAACACTAAAGCATATTATATCTAGTCATGATCTCGTTTTGTTATATCTCGTAGTACATTTTTTAGAATTCTGTTAATGTATCAAGCTCTACTTGCATTATTTCGAGCTCTTCCTTATATATACTTCCTTTCTTCCTCTCTTCTTCCTTAAGATTGAACAACTGCATTTATTCAACCATTTTCCTGCAACCATTTTCCTGTTGATATTGTCGTGAGATAAAAACAGAGTCGGATCCTGCAGAACCCGACACAATTGATTTAGCCTTGTTTCTTCTTATCGACCATGGAATGGCGTCCTCATCGTCAGACTCATCTAGGTTCACGATAGACCTGTGCAAACAAGGGTCGGCCCGTCCGGCTCGCCCAGCCCGCCCTTTAAAATGGGCGGATATGGACAATCTTTAATATCCACATGGGCGGGCCGGCCCAAGCCCGAATTGTATTTGGGCGGATCTAGAAGTTACTTTTAGCCCATCCGGGCCAACAGGCCCGCCCATATTCATTAAATACATTTACTTTATTATTAATTACCTAGATAATATAAATTTTAAAATTTTCTTTAATTCATGTATAATAGTTCATATCACTCACCCCTCTTAAACAAAAATCAATAGTCATTTAATGAATCTGTATGATGGGTTTATTAATTATTTAACAATATTTCTATTATGTTTTCTATGTAAATGTGGTGAGTGGTAATTTTATTTTAAACATTTGAAAACGAGTTCAATATTTTCTTTTTGATTTTTTGTGTAAAAAAGATTTTCTTGATGTTTTATCCGGGCCGGGCGGCCCGGTGGGCGGGTATGGGTAAAGCGTTTAGCCCATCAAATCCGGGCCGGGCCAAGCCCGCCCATGAAAATGGGTTAATAATTTGTATCAAGCCCGGCCCAGATTCGGCCCGGATCCTTATTTGCACAGGTCTAGTTCACGAGAGTCTTTGTTCCAACGAGCCGATAGTATCTTCCACGTAAATTCCCGCAGATGTTCTTTTATTTGACGATCCGGCCTTGGGCTTGCAAATCTTTTGTCATTTCGATGAACATCTTAAAATTTTCCACAAATCAATGAAAAATTCTTTAGTGTCCGTTATCTTGATACCGAGTAGTAGCTTGTCGGAGAATATCGACATCATTCGTCTCACTCTTCCACCTCTAAATACAAGTATTTAGAGACGTCATTCAGAAGACATAAAGCTTCAATGTCATCCCATCCTATGACATTGGCCGCAATTAGGTCACCTACAATGCTTGTTTCGAAAAATTTATAATTCTTAACCCCTACCCCCAACCCGAACTCACCCCAACCCCCACTATTGCACCTCAACCCCCAATTTTAGTTGACTTAGAGATTAATTTTCGTACCAATTGTTGAGAAAATTGTCTCAATTTTTTAGCTGAAACAATTAATAATATTCTCATCTTTGTATTGTCAAAATGGGCAAAATCATAGTACGACTGATGGGTTCTCTTCTATTTGTATATTTTAAAAAGAATATGATATCTTTTCCTGCATGTTCGAGTCAAAATATACAAACATAAACTCAACATGTGAAACCCACAGAGAAAAAAAGAAGTAGAGATCATCATCAATGGTTGGCCAGCAGGTTGATCGCCTCGTGGGATCTGACAGAGGCGGATCTACCTTAAAGTATATGGGGGCAACTGCCCCAGTCAAAAAAAAAAATTCTTTACTTTTTTTTTTGTTTTATGTATGGCTACCCCCAACAAAAAATAAAGAATCCCCCTAGTGACCACTGACTAACCCATTAAACAAAGTATTTGTAATACTCTAGTGATATTAAATATATTTCGTACAACATAATTCATTTAGTATTATAATTTTACTAATCTTAAAATATTTTGTTTTGCTTATTTTAAATTTGTTTGATATAAAATTAATTTTTTTCATCATGATATAAAGTACTTTAAAAAAATTCGAGGCTCTGCCCCGAACCCCCGCTTTGCTATACTACCCCCAGTCATTAACAATCTTGGATCTGCCGCTGGGATCTGATTGTGTTGAGATTGTAGGTAATCAAAATATACTTATTCTTTAATTTGGAGTCTATTCCAGCATATCAACCATGAAATGAATTGTAGTTTTAGTTGGTGTGTTTGGTGAAAAAGAAAGATATGGATTTTGATATCTCCCGTATCAAATTTCCAATTTTGGTGTTTGGTGAACTAAAAAAGAAATTCAACTTTCAAATCTGGAGATATTGAAAGCGGTGGATCTGGTCTGTCTTACGGACTTACCTTTATTCATACTCAGTGCCCTGTCTTTCTCACCAAACACTTTTGAGTCAGATTTTAGAACTCATATCATTTTTTTTAAATTTCAAAATCCATATCTTATCATACATCCAAAACTTATCAAACAGACTCTTAAAATACAACAAGAATTTTATTTTGGAAACAAAGTAGGAATACGGAGTAGTATAATAATCTTGGTCTTTTCCTCTTTAACTTTCTAGTGACTTTTCACAATCTCTCATATAATACTTTGACCATCAATGCATATATTTATACAAATATTTAGCAACACTATTTCAAAGACCTTGATCTTCAATGTTATCCCATGACATTAGCCACAATGTCCGTTTAGTAAAATATATGAATCTTGACCTCTACCTCCACGGCTCCACCCCACCCCCCACCCCCACACCACCAACCTCATATATTGCACCCCAACCCCCAACTTTAGTTGACTTTGAGACCAATTTTCATACCAATTGTTAGAAAAATCATCTCAATCTTCTAAAGGAAACAATTAATAATTTTCTCATCTTTGTGTTGTTAAAATGGACGAAATCATAGGGGACCAATGGGTTATCTTCTCATTTTAAATTTAAAAAAAGCATATTATATTTTTTTCCTGCATATTGGAGTCGAACCATACAAACTTAAACTAAAAAAATTAAGCGAGAAGAAAATGTCTAGACATAAATAAGAGTATCATATAAGGTTGATGATCAACAAACACACATTAGAGTATCAATACATTTAAGTTTCAAAATAAGATCAACTTTGCAATCACAAAAGGAACAAAAGCTTAGGAGAGAGTTATAGATGTCTTTTGGCCACCAAGTCATGCATCCTTCCTAAACAAGAAGGAAAATTCTGCTGTGGCTTAGAGAGCACCCACAAGTGTGTGATTTTCTGCAGTGAGACTATCTTCATGTGGACGCTTTGAATTCCAAAAAAATGGAAGAAATAAATCAAAGATTAGGAAGGGAATTGACAATGTTCTGCAATAATTAAGCTTAGCTAAACCACAAAAACCCCAACCAGACATACCCTTAATGTAGAAGTGTTTGTCACAAAATATTTCAAGTTAAACACAACAATAATCCATTAAAACTATAGAATCTCAAGCATCTAGCCCGCCATGGCTCGACGACTATGGATAGGGCTCTTATTAATACTGATTGGATGACATCTATGAATACGATGGCCAGTGTTAAACAGGAGGGGATATTACTTTGCTTATCAAGGAGAAGAACCCAACTCAGAAGCTAGAACTAAAGCAGCTTATGCTATGGAAAAACAGCAGGCAAACAAGATCGGATTGTGTATGGGGATCAGAACTCTAGGTTATTTACATGCCTGGATTAAGAAGAGGAGGGCTTAGAACTACATCTCACGAGGTTTCTAAGGACTTTATCGACTTTTTCTGTAACGGTTTGGGTATCACTAAGGATGCTAGTAATATAAATGAAGAGATTATTCAATGTGGTAGTAAACTTTCTATAACCCAGCAGTTACTGTTGATTGCTCCTGTAACACAAGATGAAGTGAAGAAGTGCCTGTTTTCCATTCCTAGTATGAAGAGTCCTGGCCCAGATGGATACACTAGCAGTTTCTTTAAAAAACGGTGGAATATTATTGGGGACCTCTTCAAGCATGCAGTGCTAGAGTTTGTCAATACTGGGAATGTCTGAAACAAACTAATGCTACCACTATCACCCTTATACCTAAGAGAGAGATGGCTAAAACTCCTGATTTCAGACCCATATCTTGCTGTAATGTGGTATATAAGGTTATTTCCAAAATATTGAGTGGTAGAAGAATTAAGAAGGTTCTTTCTGATATAGTAAATGTGAACCAAGGAGTCTTTATTCTTGAGAGATCTTTGGTCCATAATGTGCTTATATGTCAAGAACTTGCTAGAGGCTATACTAGGAAAGAGGTGTCCTGAAAAATTGATATTAGGAAGGCATACGATAATGTTTGTTGGAAGACTTTGATTCAGATTCTTCATGCTATGAATTTCCCACACCAGTTTGTTTCATGGACTGTTTTCTGCATTGCAAGTACATCTTTCTCTGTACAAATCATTGGAGAGGTCTTTGGGCACTTTTATTATGGTGGTAAAGGGCTAATGCAGGGAGACCCCATATCCCCCCTCCTCTTTACCCTTATTATGGGATACTGGATAGTGGGGGAGAAACCTAATGTTATTCAGAAGTAGATTGAGTAAATTCCTTACAAATAGACACCAGCTGTGTATAATGTAATGGATCAACAGATTGACCACCTGTTTTACAGATGTGGTTTTGCAAACAATATAGATGCAGGAGATATGAACAGGATTTAAATTTGAAGCTTCATCAATCACAGACATTGTTCTCAAATTGAGGAATATCGAGCCTAAAAAGTGGAGGTTTTCTTTGATTGCCACATGTGCAGCTTGCTGCTACTCTATTTGGAAGGCTAGGAACAATTATTTTCATATTAAAAAGGATCCTAATCTGCAGCAGATTCTTCCTTGGCTTAAAACTCAAGAAAACATATACATTACTAAGAAAAATGAGCTGCGATCTGTATTGGTGTTAGTTGATGTGTAGGGCTGTGTCCTCTATGCTTTGTACTAAACTGTGTTTTGGCTTAATATTATTTGCTCTTGGTTATAAAAAAATAATTCGAATCAATTCATGGGGGAAAGTTTTGATCGATAGCTCATACCACATTTGTATCAAGGCCAAGAACTAGGAAATTATGCTATACTTAACAAAAAAACAATGACCAAATATTGTAGTTACTAATCACTTACTACGTATAAGTTTAATGAGTCACTTATGCAAGGGTTGTGTTCCTTTCTGACAAGGTGGATAAGATCAATCTTGCAAAGATACACACTTTGTAAAAATACGAAGTACCCCCCCCCCCGCCCCACCACCACGAACAAAAGAAAGAGCAACAGCTTGGTTTGTTTTCCAAAAACAGGGGTTTTTTTTGTTTTCCACTAAAAATCACAAGTCATTATGTTTTTTCGTTTTCCACCACTAAAATGAGAAAGCAGTTTTACCGAATGTTTTCCCAAAAACACAAACTTGCAACATAAATGTTCATTCAGATTTCAGACATTAGAAGAATACCTGAATCTTTAGAATCTAAAGAAACGTGCATCAAATGCCGCTAACGGCACCATGCAATCAGAAAGCCCGTTGATCTCAAATTTCACTTTCTCAAATACTTGGGTCCACGGATTACATAGATATAAGCCATCTCCACTCTTTATAAGTATCTTTCATGTATCCATCTGCACTAGAGGCACACTCCATTCATCAGCCAATATGACAAATTGTCTCACCCAAGATTCTTTCACACCATACTCCTTCATTATCCATACCTCCATCTCAACTCTATCACTCTGATTACGGGACCGGGAGAAACATCCCAAACATAGGCAAGAGTCTAAAACAGACAATTTTTTCACATTAGTTGAACTGATGATGTCATCAGGGAATGGGATTTGCAAAAACTCCTCCTTCTCAAAATTAAAGGACCATATGCAGGTCGGACCACACCAGTGATTAGACCCATTTAGAAAACATCCATTGACCAAGTTCCTCTTCCTCAAGGGTGCACTGCCCACACTCCTCCATTCACCATTACCCAAAGTCTGTATCTTTGTCACTTGGATCTTATTCTCTGCGTCCCAAAGAAACAAGAGAACCTTGAATTGGCTTGTCACTGGGCAGAACCCCACTTCACAACGAAATATAATAAAAGATTTCTTCGTTAATTCAGGAAGATTCTGGAGATTGAGATTCACACACTGGCCAGTGAGTAGACAGCATACAAAGAATTCATTTAGTCCACTTCTGAAACAGACCCCACCATCGCAATGATACTTCAGAGACCATATTTCACCGGAGGTGTCAATTTTTGGCTCAAAGCAGATTGGATCATCAACATGCACAATACAATTACCCAAATCATTGACATCCAATGTCTTTTCAAGCTCAACCAAGTTGAAAATCAGTCTCTTGCCACCACCCAGGCCATTATAGAACAAGATGGTAAATCGGGAGGCATTACAATGGCTGCGGAAAGAAGGGAATTCTGGACTGACAATGATATGATACCATTGTTTGCAAACAAGCTTACAAGTTAAGCATGTCTTAATTGGAACTCTGCCCAGAATTTCCCACCATATGACAGAAGGGCTTTCAGAGAAAGGTTGATACTGTTCAACTTTCTTCATCCGTTGCTCAAACAGGTCCAGTAGAAAACAAAATGGACAATATTTCCGAAAAAGGTCAACAATGTTTCCCCTTCTTCATCTGGCAACAGTAAATTGGACTAGTAATTGAGAGAGTGAATTCTTGATAACACCAGAGCACATAACAGAATAGGGAAAAGAAGCTTAGCATTGAGTGAGTTTTACTCCAATAATCCAATCAAAAGTTGTAAAAAGCATCACAGAGTAAAGATTGGGTGAAATCAATTCCAATTCCAATTGAATCTAGTGCTGGTTGAGTGTGGATGACCGATCATGAATATGAATTTAAAGATTGCACACAATTCTACAAACACAAATGCTAAGAGAGTGAGAAAAAAAAAGATTTACACTTTCGTCTTCAAATCTTTTCCCGGCAATTCGTTCTCTCTGAGTCTCTGGTTTGCGTTCTTGGGGTCGTAAAAATCACAAAATCCTTCTCTTTTCGCTCTTTACCCTATATTCCAACTACGGATAAGCATATGTAATGGTCTGGTTCTGTACTAGTTTGGATTTTGGTAAAATATAAAATGGAAGAAAAATACTCAAAGATTATAAGATAAATATGATATACTTCTGATTTCTTCTCTCTATTAATTCTTCACTCTTCTTCTTGTTCTTAATAATATTTTTGCAAGGATCCTAGGCTTTTTATTTATAGTGGAGACGCTTAGTGGGAACACTATTACAAATAGTATACATACTATACAAATGGTAACCTGATGGTGATGATAAACAATTTGTTCCTGCAGCTATGATGGAGCATGATCTAATTAATTGAACCATTCTTAGCAAACAAGCTTACAAGTTAAACATGTCTTCAAATCACGAATATAAAGATTGGAATTCTACAAGCAAATGCAAAGAGAGAAGGAGAAATGAGATTAAAGAATTACCCTTTCGTCTTCAAATCTCCTTCCTGCAATTCGTCCTCCCCTCGTTTGCGTTTCTGGTGCAGCAAAGGACAAAGTCCCTCTTGTTTCTCCGTAATTGGGACCAGTGCAGGGTTATACCTAATGAACTAGGATTGATATTAAATATTTAATGAATCCTAAACCAATATTTAAATATTGAGCCAAAATGGATTTTTAACCTTTTAATGTATGTTATGCATTTCTTATGCTATTGTTTTGCCAACAAGCCTACAAGTTAAACATGTCTTAAATGGAATTCTAACCAGAATTTCATACAACAGGGCAAAGGGTATTTCTAAAAAGAATTATGTGGATTACTCAATGCTCAAAGGGGAAATTATATATGTGGCCAGTAAAATGATGTAATAATGATTGAAAAAGCAAATTCTTACTGATTAGCAAGCACCAGAGCACATTACTACCTAGGAGGATGAAGAAGAAGAAGAAGAAGATGAAGACCATTATAATTCCAACAAAATATGTGAAAAAGCATCAAGGAAAAATCAAAAGTTCGCAACTTTTGACCATTCATATTTAGTTCCAATTCGATCCAGTATGTGCGTATGAAGCACAGATCGCAAATGTTAAGACAAAAAGGTAGAAAAAGATTTACCTTTTCGTTTTCAAATCTGCTTTCGCCAATATTTTGTCTTCCCCTTCGTCTTCGTTTTGCGCTACAGGCGCAACAACTCACAGAATCAATCTTCTTTCACTCCATTTCCGTAAATTGGGAGCTGAGGTAGGGTTTTAATACTCCGCAATAGGATTTTGAATTAGAATACTCAATAATTTGCTTTTGCTTGCTTTTTTTATGGCATTAATTTGTTGGGAATCATATTTTCAGAAAATAACTTCATACGGAGTATTACGTATACACTTAAAATTTGGCCTGGTAAAGAAGGTTGGCCAGAAATAGAAAAAGGTTGGTTCGGGATAGGCCAGAAAGAAGGTGGGCCGTAATTAAAGGCAATAAGCATGATAAGGGTATAATAAAAGTTTAAGGTTGCGTTGGTTCGCCTTCTAGTCTCATTTTTTTAATTTCTAATTTGATTTGATCTAATTTAGTTTGATCTGGTCTGATCTGATCTAATATGATATGATTGAATCTGATATGAACTTAATAAGAATTAAAATTAAAATTTTTATTATAATAATTATAATAATAACAATAGAAATATTAGAAATAATAGTAATAATAAAAATAAAAATACTAATAGTAATAATAATGATAGTAATAAGAATAGCAATAATAATAATAATAGAAATATTGATAGTAAAAGTAATAATAATACAAATAATAATAAGAATAGTAAGAATAATAATGACTACAATAATGATACGAATAATAATAGTAATAATAATAGAAATAATAATAATAATAATAATAATAACAATGATGATGATAATAATAATACTAATAATAATAGTAATAATAATAACAGAAATAATAATAATAATAGAAATATTAATAATAAAAGCAATAATAATAATAATAATAACAATAACAATAACAATAATAATAATAGTAATAGTAAGAACTCCTTGGTTCCCATTATAATTGTACGATGTTTTTTATTATTGTGGATGATTATTCTCGTGGTGTGGGTTTATTTGCTTGATTCCAAGCGTGCTGTATGGAGTGTATTTAAGCAATTCTGTGCCATGGTAGAATGTCAATTTCGGAGGAGATCAAAATGTGTTCGTAGTGACAATTGTATGGAATTCATGCTTAAATGAGTATTTCTGAGACTAGGAAATTGTTCATGAGACATCTTGTGTCTCTACTCCACGGCAGAATGGCAGAGTAGAACGCAAGCATCGACATATACTGAATGTGGGTCGGACTTTGAGATTTAAGACGGGGCTTCCAATTGAGTTCTGGGAGATCGTCTAGTTTGTGAAAATCACTTTAAAAAGTTCCCAACTCTTACAATTCTACAATGGGGGTTAGGGGTAGAAACCGTCAATTTTACGAACGGAGCACCCCGGGTCATTCCATGACATTGGTTCCCAATATCATGGGAACCAGCCCCATAATAATATTAATATAATGGTATTATAATTAAATATCATAATACCCACCTTAAGAATTATATTTTATTTTTTGTAAAGAAAATATAATTCCTTCGTCCCACAAAATATTTTTTGTTTTGACTTTTAGAAGGGAGACTGTAGAAGTTTGACCAAGATGAAATGACGACAATTGAAACAAGCAGGCCTCGGAAAATATCAAAATGAATAGGCTGTAAAAGTTAGTTGAGATATGTTTGGTTAGATTTAAGAAAAGTATATGTGATTATGTTCATTTAGCCTAAATTGAAATGTTTTATGGGACAAACATGATGTAAAAACTTAAAAACCTTGAGCCATGGAAAGAAATAGACATTATTTTCCTGGTAACGAATTAATTCTCTTTATTTTCTTTGTGGGGTGTCCCAAATTAATCATCCTCTTTTCTTTTCCAGAAAACTTTTTGTAGCTCACCTTTCTTTCTCTCCTTTGAATCACTTTGAATGCATAATTTCCTTTTTCTTAAATTCGGTTCAAAATCAAACTAAGAGCATTAATTTGGGACGGAGGAATATAAGACACGTTAGTTCAAACAATTGAGCACTTAAACTTCACTTTCTTAGAAACATGAGTTTGCAAATCATAAGAATATGGTAAAATATTTTCATTCCCTTATCTTTCCCTTACCCATATGAATTAGAGAACACTCTTGTTTGGCTGGGTTGGAGTCATATCTTTGCTACATGACTTCTTTCTTGAAAGTAAAGAAAAAAAAGTTTCTCATTTTCCTATAGAAAAAAAGTGAGGGTGAGCCAAAACAAAGGTTTTTGGTTTGATGAGAGTAAGTGCTTAATTTGGAAATATTTTCCTAAAATAAAAGTGAGTGAAAAAAAATGTGCCTACTATTGTGATAGTAGAAGAGATTAAACATGTGTACCTATTATTTGCAATAGTGGAAAAAGAACTAGAAGTGTTTGTTTTGTAAAAGTAGCCCAGAAGTTTTGGGTGAACCACGTTAAATCTTTGGTGTCAAACTTAACCCTCTATCTTTTGCCTCCTAATTTTATTATTTTTCACTGCACGATCCCAACAAGTGGCATTAGAGCTTAATAACTGGTAAGGTCCAACAACTCCATGCATCATTCCCTATGACAAATTGCCTCACCCAAACTTCATTCACTCATACTTTTTCATTATTCATATGTCAATCTCAATGCTAACACTCCCAATGAAACAACTCAAACATAGGGAAGAGTTAAAAACGCTCAACTTTTTACAAGTCTTCTTGTAAGATTCAAGCCGATGTCAAGACTCGATGATAACCTAGAATTTCCTATATACAAAGAGCAAGATGACATATCTGAAAAGGGTTGCTGCTCATTCGCTATCTTCACCTATTGCTCAAACCAGAAATTATATGGGTAGTAAATTGAATGGTTATAAAAATGAGAGGGTGCCCAAGGCACAACTCAACTCGCAAAGGCAATTGGTGAGCCTTTCTAGGCGACCAACTAGCATGTCTTGAGATTTAGCCTGTTGTAGGTGAGACTAGCTGTGGCAATAGTTTTGATAACTTTGACTAGTTGAGGCACCTCTTGCGATTTACCTCCTCCAACCCTAGGGCAGGGTGTGGGGATCCTCAAGGTAAAAGTTCCACCTTTTTTCTAATAATTGAAAGGGTGTTGTTAAATCCACTCATCTTTTTGTTAAATCTATGACCAGTGTCCATTTTTACTCTTTAGTTAGTCCACATGTGGTCTTTCTTTAGTTTAATTTACACGTTATGGATAAATTTGTTCATTTTTATAAAAGCTTTGATTTAACAAAAAAGGAGTGGATTTAGCAACACTGTAATTGAAAGAGCTAATTCTTCCTAGCACTAGAGCAAATTATCACATAGAAAAAAAGAAGTTAGAATTCCAACCAAAACATTTATAAAGCATATCCGTAGAAACAAAAGGAGGCATAAATCATATCCGTAGAAACAAAAGGAGGCAACCTTTGATCATTCCAATCAAATTGAGTGAGTTTAAATCCAATTTAATAGAATCATAACTATACATAGAGATTGCAATTCTACAAACACAAATCTGAAATGCTAAGAGAGCGACAAAAAAGAAGAAGAATATAAAGGGGAAACAAAAAAAATTAAATGACTAAATCAGTTTTTGTCATTTTATTAAAGAACTTAATAAAAATATACACTTTTATGCTTATTTAAGAGATCAAAACATTAGTTCTTTTGTCAAAGAAACACTTTATTTTTCAAAAATGAGAACGACAAGCGGTTTATATCATAATTTAAGTAATAGCTCAAACAAGCTCTCGAATAATCAAGCGAATCAATAAATAACGATCGAGGCACAAAGTAAGATTTAGTGGCTGTTTGGCAACTTCTGAATAGGTAAGTGCTGAACAGGTAGTAAGAGGTCTGAACCATTAAGTGCTGAACCAGTAAGAGGTCTGAACCATTAAGAGCTAGTATATTGCTTAACTATTCAGAGACAAATGTCTGATCAATTCAGATAAGAGGTCTTAACCATTCCTGTATATTACTTAACCATTCAGAGGCAAATGTCTGAACCATTCAGACATATGAACCATTAAGAAACAGAAACAAACAGTCTGAACCATTAAGTGTTGAACCATTCAGACATCTGAACCATTAAGAGGCTGAAACAAACAGCCCCTTAGTGTATAGGTGAGTTTTTAAAACCTCAAGAAGCTTACATCAAATCCCACGAACAACACCGCATTGTCTCCACAACTAAGAAGCCGATTGTGTTTGAACTCTACTGCATCAGAAAGCTTGGTTTGTGGATCATATACGTATAAGTTATCTCCCGTCCTTACGAGTATCATTCCTTTGTCCAACTGCATTACAGGCACACTCCATGAACCACCCACTATGACAAATTGCTTCACCCAAGATTCTTTAACACCATATTTCTGCATTATCCATATGTCAATCTCGCCTCTAGTATAACCCGTTGGGGAACAGCTCAAACATAGGCATGAGTTGAAAGCGCTTAGGTTTTTATCCATCTTCTTGTAGGATCCATTATTGACATCATTGGGTAATGAGATAAGTGAAAACACTTCCTTGCCAAAGTCAAACGACCATATATAGCTGTGGTCAGGCCAATGACTAGACCCGTTCAGAAAACATCCATCCATCATGATCTTTAAGGGTGCATAGCCCGCGCTCCTCCATTCACAATCACCCAAAGTCTGTATTTTTGCTAGTTGGGTCTTCATCTTTGCGTCCCAAAACAGAAGGAGAATCTTGAATTGTCCAGACACCGGGCAACACCCTAGTTCACATCGAGGTATGTAAAGAGAGAGATTCCTCACTTGATCCAAATTCTGTAACTTCACACACTGGCCCGCGAGCAAATGGCATACGAAAAAGTCTAGCTTTCCTCTTGCGAAACAAACAGCCCCATTGCAATGAGACTTCAGATGCCATATCTTACTAGAAGAATCAATTTTTTGCTTAAACCTACAGAAATCAGCAACACCCACAAAACGTTTACCCTTAACATTGAAATTGAACCTCTTTTCAAGCTCAATCAAATTGAAATTATGCCCCACATCCACACCAGAGCTATCATAAAGCAAGATGGGAAACCGAGAGGATGTACGATGGCAGCGAAAAGAAGAGAATTCTGGACCGATCACGACATGGTACCATTCTTTGCAGACAAGCTTACAAGTTAAACATGCCTTAATCGGAAGCCTAGCCAGAATTTCACATAACAAGGCAGACGGTATTTCTGAAAAGGATTGACGTTCATTCACCTCTTCCACCTATTGCTCAAAAACAAGTACACAGATTATTCAATGCTCAAATGGGGATTGGAAATTATATATGTGGGCAGTAAAAAGAAGTAAAAATATTAACTGAGAGAGCAAATTCTTCTTAATTTGGAAGCACCAGTGAGCATTAATTACCATATACACAGGGAAAAGATATGAAGAAAGAACAGTAAAAGATGTGAAAAGCAAAAGACTGCATCTTTTTGATAGTTACATTTCAATTGAGTGAGTTTAATTCCAATGCAACCAATATAAAGATTCGACGCAAGAAAATAGACAAGAAGATGTGAGTTTAATTCCAAATGCTAAGGAAGTGAGAAAAAAAAGAAAGAAAGATTAACCCTCTGGTCTTCAAATCTCCTTCTGCCGATCCGTTTTCTCTGTTCTTCGAAAAAAGATTTAATCTTTGGTTCCCTCTGTCGTTTGAAAAAAGATTTACCCTTTGGTTTCCTCTGTCGTTTGCGTTTTCGCCGTCGCAAATCACAAAATCGCTGTTCTTTCATTCTTTCGTTAGGGTTTGCTCAATCCGCTCAAATTATAAACGTTTTCTCTGTTGGAAAAACAAGAAGGGTATTATACATTTATACACCAGGCCACATCGTTATGGGGCAAACTATCCATTTATTTTAGATTATTTACTAGCATTTCACCCGTGCGTTGCACGGAAATATAGTTATTCTATAATTTGTGATGATGAACATAAAAAATTTAAATATTATTTTCAAAAGTTTGAGTTGATTAACTTTGAAAAAATATACTCCCTCCGTTCCTGAGTGTTTGTCCACTTTCATTTTTGCACACCATTCAATGCACTTCTTTAATCCATTTTATCTTGTAATTTGTATATTAAAAAATTATACTCCGAGTAAAAATTATATATTAATAATCTATATGTTAAGACGAATTAAACAAGATCACACATGATTATTTTTAGGCTTACACATTGAGAGAATTTGATGAGTCAAAGTGCTTAGATGAACAATTCCAAAAGTCAAAAGTGGACAAACACTCAGGGACAGACCAAGTATGATTTTCAATACTATTGATATATGATATCCTCAATTTAAAAAATACTCCCTCTATCCTATAAAGATTTTCTCACATTGACTTAAACCTATTTTTATGTGATTGGTTATTTATACTTTGACTTTCAATTTTGTCCCTCCTTCCCACAAGCTCAATTCCAAGTTATAGAGTAATTAAAAGAAAAATGCTAGCCCCAATGGTGTACCTATTTGTCCCCCCACCCCCTCTGCCACCACATAAATGGGCAAAAAATTTAAAAATAAATAAATAATTAAAAATCAAATTGCTCTAATTAAAAAGTTGCCACAGGAGTATGTCCATAAAAAAGGTTTGGACGTTTGGTTCAATATATACGTATCATAGATTTTTAACAAATATTCTCTTCCCAAATTTAGACTAATGCAAACATTAAATGTGAAGAATCTAAAAAAGAACTTTGAACGAAACTCATGTCCAGAAACAAAAAACTATAATAAAAGGTAAGAAAATAAAGTACAAAAAACAATGGCAATCATATTCTAACTAAACCAAAGCAAAAGTTCTAAGAGAACTGATAAACAAAAATACTTTTGTTGTCTTATAAGAGCTTCAAGATTGATCCCCCGAAGTATATTTGCTTCCCTCCAGCCTCTTGTTAACAAATGGGCTGGAATAGCTTGAAGTTTGAAACCGTCTGTCTTTCTTGCCCCAAAGAGTGAAAAGAATGAAGAAAAATAAACTTTGATCTACTGCAGCAAAACTTGCAGGTATGCCTATAGAGAAAAGTATGCTATATGTAAAACCTAAGAGAAAAAACACATGAAACATCCCATTCCATCTGTACGTAAGAGAAGAGAAGATAAATTATAATGATCAATGGCTTTAAGAGAAGCAATTGATATCTAAATGGCTCAGAAATATACGATATGATTTCAACATAAAGTTTGGTAAATACTCTGTTATCTTGTAAAAATATTTGTAAATACAGTTTATCATCTATTTTAACTAATAACATTGTCTTGAAAAAATGACAATATGTATTCACCTCTGATTAATCAATGGTCTAGAAAATGCTATTTGCATGTAATCAACTCTTAAGATTTGCTCAATTTTTAAGAGCGACTTAAGCCGTTTGATACTTGATAGATTCCAGTGATACTGAGGAGTGGCTGGAAATGGACACTACAAAAAAAGAGGGCAGTACCGACAGATTCTTAGCGACAGAAACCTTATTTGTCGTTAAAAAAAGAATATTACCGACAGATAAAATTATTTGAAGGCAAAACCTATTTGACCCACAGAAAGAGTAATATCTGTCGCTATTGGTTATAATTTTAGCAACACACTTTTATCTGTCGGTATTACTTATAGCTTTAGCGACAAAGCTTTATCTGTCAGTATCGTTTATAATATTAGTAACAAAAAATTTATCTGTCAGTATTGTTTATCGTATTAGCAACAAAAATTGATCTGTCGATATTGTTTATAGTTTTAGCAACAACATTTCATTTGTCGGTATTGATTTTATTGACATTTAATTTAAATAACTTAATTATAAAAAACCATAAAATTAGGCATCATTTAGTACACGAAATTGAGGTCATGAAATTAGAAATGAAAATTCTCAATTTGAATTTTGTTGTTTGGTCGCACAAAAATATATGATACTAAAAATGAATTGTAAATTTAAAAGATAAAAAACTAAAAATTAAAGATTAAAAATTATTTTTTTACATTGAATTACAAATTAAAAATTATAATTTTTAATTTTTAATTTTTAAGTAATAAGTTAAAATTAAAAAACTAAATTGAGCGAATAGAATCAAGATATATGATAAAAGAAGAAATCAACAAAGTAAAATCGAGAGGGATGAAAACGTCAGTAGAGATAAGTAGAATTATTCATATTATTGATGTAGAATAATAAGGTAGAGATTCTTAATCATTTCCAATGCGGTTAAAAGATATGTCGGTAAACCACAAATCAAAAACCAAAAATCAGGGGATTGACCGAAAACACAAATTAGTTAGTACATTAGCAAAATGGGGCCAATTTACAATATTGAGAAGTTTTAATGTTGATAGTAGGAAGGGAGATCAAGCTAGGGGCGGAAGACAGTTTGGGACGGAATCGAGGATTAGGGATCTGAGACACGAATGGAGCACGACGAGGCAACAAAGTAACCGGCGACGACTTTCTTCTTCGACCAGAACTGCGGGCGGTAGGCTCTCATCTTCGATCAGCATGTGTCACTGGACACAGAGCAGGGCGGGGGTGGTTGGCATTCATCGTCCATCGGCTAGCAGCGAGGCATGGAGGTCCGGTTCCAACCTCAGTGATTCCGGACGGAAATCATACGGCGGCCTTTTCTCTGATTCGGTTTCAATTTTTTCACCTTTCTTTAATCTAATCTTTCTCACTATTTTCTTTAGATTTGTTCACTCTAATTTTGTATTCACTTGTTAGACTGCCATGGCTGCCCTTCTCTCTGATTTGGTTTCAATTTCACAATATAATAAGGAATTCTATTCAAATCATGATATGTACTGTATTTACAAGTCTTTAACTTTTAATTATAAGTGTCCACGATTTTTACAGACATGCCATGGCTTTTGCACATTGCTATTGTTTTGCCTTCTTTGACAAACTTATGGAGCTAGGTAGGTTTCATCAGGGCGACTAATAAAGCATGTAGCATCGTCAAAGACAATTGTCATCACCTTTCATTTCTATACAAAGCAAGCTCCACAATAAAATGAATTGGATGATGATCATAGATGCCACATATGTCATTGGGTTCCTTTAGGGACCCTATCTAGCTACTTATAATCACTCTTTTATTTGGCCTTAAGGCAATTGTTTCTCGTCTTCTTTTTCTTGTTGATCCCTTTTTTCTGTTCCAACAATGTTTATTACATATTGTAGATTTTTGTTGGTGGAATCTCCGAAGTTATTTCATCTGATATGGTAAGAGAATTAATCTTAACATCGGTAAAAAGGTTTATTTTAGATAGGGGCTGCTTGGCAACTTCTGAATCGGTAAGTGCTGAACCAAGTAAGAGGTCTGAACCATTAAGTGATGAACCAGTAAGAGGTCTCAACCATTAAGAGATAGTATATTGCTTAACTATTCAGAGGCAAATGTCTGATCAATTCAGATAAGAGGTCTTAACCATTCAGACTCTGTATAATACTTAACCATTCAGAGGCAAATCTCTTAACCATTCAGACATCTGAACCATTAAGAGGCTGAAACAAACAGTCTGAACCATTAAGTGCTGAACCGTTCAGACATCTGAACCATTAAGAGGCTGAAACAAACAGCCCCATAATGTTTCTAGTTTCTTTTTTCATCCTGCCCGAGGGCTTAAATTTTATGCTGCTATTCTAGCTCATGGAGATTGCTAAATCCTTTGGACATTTGAAAGCATATCACTTTGAGTTTAATGCAGATCTTAATGAGCCACGTGCTTTTCTTGAGGTATCATCCTACTATTCTTTCATTGGGTAAATGATTATTTATTCTTTCTTACTCCCTACTAGATTATTGTCTTGTATATACTTTGGTAATGCTCTACTTGTTTTATGGAGAAAGTGGAATAAAATTTACTGTGGATGTAATCTGTATGAGATGTCAGGCTCAGTGTCAAGTGTCAAATGTCTGTTCCATGATCAAAACCAAGTATAAACCCAGGGCCTGGATACTACTGACAATTAGAAAGCTGAGCCTCTCATGTGTGTGAGAAGCAAGAATTTATGTGTTTTTTTAATATAATTATGAACTGAAACCTGAAAGGGGAGTAAAACATAAGTGTTCTTGAGCTTCAATTTTGACACGATCAATATATTCAAGTTAGGCTACCACTTAGGGTTAGGAGGTTTACACTGTATCTGTGGGCTCGCATCTTCGATCAGCATCTGGTCACAGAGTAGGGCTGGTGGTTGGCCTTCATTGTTGATCGGCTAGCAGCGAGGCATGGAGGTCCGATTCCGGATGGAAATCAGACGGTGGCAATCAGTCGAGCAACTCTCCCTACAGTGAACTCCTGACTCCAGCGAGCTATAGTGCATGAGTGTAAGGTAAATTTGGTGCAAAATTTGTAATTACTTTATTTTGTGCTTATATTTTTTTTTTTGCATAGGATTCAACGGCTAATCAATCTGAAATCGATGACCTTACAATTGATGGTAATACAACCACTGAGCAAAGTCATAATGAGGATCGATGGAACAAAGATGATGAGGTTAGAGTGATGAACTTGAAGATGTAGACAGTGACGAGCATTAAAGCTTTGGACTATATCTTCCATATCAATGCGTATTTTAATTTAGTTCACTTTGACTGTTACTTTAGCTTGAAAAGTACGCAAATGATGAACTAATTTTGAGATGTTGGTTTACTATCTAGTAAATGGGTTAGTTGTAACCTTTTGAAATGTTATCGTATTATGTATTGTTGTTAATACAAGTATGAGTATTATTTTTTATTTGTCAATGAAATTTTTTGATATCACTTAAATAAAGCATGCTGATGTGAAACATGGTATTAGTAACAGTTATAATAAATGTTAATGTTGGTCAAAAATAAACTATTACCGACAGGAAAAAATGTTTTACTCACACAATTTTTGTGGGTAATCTAACTTTTAGCGACAGTTATAATTAATGTTAATGTTGGTAAAAAGAAGGTATTACCGACAGAAAAGAAGGATTTACCAACACTACTTTTTGTCGGTAATCCATGTTTTAGCGACATATATGTTTTGTCGGTACTCTTCTCTTTTTTAGCGACATCTTTGGTCTGTCGCTATTATACTATTTTAGCGACAGTATATTTTATCTGTCGGTAATACTTTTACTGACGGAGTTTTTAGCGACAGCGTAGCGACAGACAATTATCTGTCGGTAAAAGCGAGTAGCGACAGATATTCAACCTTTAGCGACATATTAACCCCTGTCGGTATTGCCTCCTTTTTTTGTAGTGGGAAATGCAATATTGAATCCTTTTCTAGAAGTTATCTCTAGTGCTTACGGAGTGAAAATTTTCAATTGATCACTTACCTTGTAGGTTTATGAATATCACCAGTGCAATACATTTGGCTATCAGGTATCTGATTTTTTGGGGAAGAGAAATGATGAGCTATCTGAATTGCAAAATCATCAAAACTAATCAATCTTGTAAAAAGCTAATAGAGTCATGAAAATACCTGTGAGCTTCTATTCTTTTCTGTACTTGCACTTCAATGTAAGATAACAAAAAATGCTTCTCGTGGAAAATTAATATGAAGACAGTTTAGAAATTAAAGATCTGTTATGAATTTCATATATTTTGATTATAGATGACATAAGAATGATGATACTGGTGCCTCAAATATAAGAGTAATAAGGGGCTACTTACTCTTGTGTTCAATAAATGAAAACATCACACATCTTTTGGTGAAGATCTTCAAGACTGGCATTATGCAGACCTGCAGGTAAATGGGTCCTAAATCAAAAGGGTGAACTTGAATCAGGATAGAGAATACCAATAATTGTGCATATAAGTCAAACAATATCAAACATTTAACACATTTCATACACAGTGCTCACAAATCAGACCTTAGAGATCATATTTTACCTCCAGATTCAGTTTCTAAACAAATAAGAACTTTAAGGAACATGAATCGGCATGAATATTCAACCAAAATAGTGCAGCTTTTTTTTCAAAAAACATCAACAAAACAGGTTACTTTACAACACGTGCTTCCAAATAGACAAAGAGCAAAAATGCAAGCACATCGATATTCAATCTCATTTCCAACCAGCCACTCAAGCATATAGACAAACATCTAGCTGTCTCTTTAAACAAATTTGTGAATTTTGTAAAGCATTAAAGGAGTTAATTGAAGTGGTTGTCTCTCTAACGCATACGTGTAATTTTATGTTGTTCTAAATAAAAAAAATCATGTATGAAAAATCAAGGGCTCTCAACATTATCACATGGCACTCATCAAGATAAAGGTGAGTAACAAAGTGAAAATAAAATCATAATGGTTCACCCTTATGAGCTGATAAAGGCTTAAGGACCCTTTCTTCCCTTACACCAATATTAAAACACTAAGATAATTAAGAATTCTATGGAGCATATAAACAAATTTACTGAATAGATGAAAAATTTCGGACCTCCCATGTTGAGGAGACAAAGAGATGGAGCCATGGAGGCTCGTAAGTCCACTCGTTCTCACCGTATTGCTATCGCCGTCACCAACATTCCATCCATGATAGGTGTTTCAAATTTGTCTGTAGCTGAGCCCAAACACGGACACTATGGAGAATGAAAGGGAAAAAAAGAGCTCCCCTGACCAAAAACATAGTAGTGGGTGAAGTACTGGTTCAAACATATATACATTATCTGTTGTAAAAAGGTAAAACATTTCCCACTTTTTTTTATAAAAAAAGAAGATAATAATAACAATGATGATGATGATTATGATGACAAATGTAGATATACTGCTTTGGGATTCTTAGAAGCAATACATGAAGGTTGATTGTCAGACAAATCCCATAGTTTTACCTGCATTTGGTTGGTCTCCGTCAGTCTTAACAGAGACAGTTTGAGATGCTGAGAATTTCAAAAGAAGATGAGAGAGATGAATGTTGTTTTATCTAAAGAACCTATCGCAAGAAGCTACCAAGATTAACATAAATAAATTAGTTTATTAGGGAAGATGATGGATGACACTATGAAGCAGGGATGGAAAAAAGACAGGTAGACGTCTAAAAAGGGAAGCTATATATATACATTTGGAACCAATGAATTGAAAGCAATGGAGCAAATAGCTTTGTCTTGAACATGGAGGGTGAAACTTGGCTTCATATTAGGATCAACACCCGCCTCTAAAAGGATCTTTCCAAACACATATTTTAAAATTAAATTCTAAAATAAAAAGATGAAATGCTCTTACACACCATATTAAGAGGACGACATTGAATCTCACATTGGCTAGTTGTTCCACATTCTCGCCTAGTAAACAATATAGCTACTCCGTACCCTTAAAAAATTGCTACTTCATATGCGGTACAAAGTACCCCTCATAGTTCATTAAAAGTTTGTTGTCAGGATGAGTATGTGATGAGGGGGATGAGTATGTGATGAGGGGGATGAGCAGCTGCATTTTAATGTATAGCAATAAGGACAGTATAGACTTAGATGAAGAGACAATTGATTTGAGAAAAAACTGACAAAGGTATGCCCCCTTTTCCATGTTTCCCCTACTTTGAAAGAACATATAAGAGCAGTACATATTGCCATACTGTGATAAAATAAAAAGAAAAATGCAATTGTACCCCAAGTGCATTTAGTAAATTAAATATACTATAGATAACATAATATTTATGCCAATTCTCCATTTTATAACCTTATCAATTACTTGAAATAGTCATTTTATAAACATATCAAAACTATGTTAAAATAAAAATATGGAGAAGTCATGCATGTTGCTCAAATTTCTCAATATGAATGCATGCCTTAGTTTGGCAGCAACCTTTGGATTTACCTTTACAGCCTTGTGGTTCTTTGTCTGTCAACTTCTTCTCCAATGTTTACCTTTTATTCAAGTCTGAAAGCACTTTAAAATAAAAAAAAAATTGCAAATCAGAATTTTAACCTTGATTTACTATTTGTGATAGGACAATACAAAGAAGATTAACATGCCCTAGTGAAAGGATGACACAGAAAAATTGAGAAATGGTCCTCATTTTTTTTAAACTAATTTTTCCATACGTTTCTACTGCATTTGGGTTTCAACCTGCGGATTTTGGATATTTGATTCCATTTAATAATATGCTAATTTAAAAAAATAATACTATTTTTGATTGAAAATCAAGAAAAACCTAACACATCAAATATGGATTGATTCAAAAAAATGGATCTAAACAAACCCTAAACTTATTTTGATATGAAGCTACAAAACTGAAGAAATTAACATGAAATTGATGAAGCAACGACAGCCTCCACCTTCTCCTTCTTTCTCAACTTACAATGTTCCCTTAGCTTCTCAGTTTTAGTCTGATCGATTGAGTCTCTAAAATCTGTCCATCTCTGTTCGCGATGTTGCACCGCATCGAATTAAAAAGCCCTTTCCCGTAAGATGTGCATTAGTGGGTGGTTGGGACTTGGGAGTTGCGACTGCGATTTTTCTTAGGGAACCGTCGTCGTATTGGTCCTGCACAATTGGGCGGCAAATTTTTAGTGCTCCTATTCTAAATAGGAGGATTATTTTTATTTAAAATAATAAATTGACCAGCAAATTCCGTTGATGAACTTAAAGTTATAGTGCTTTGTTCACTTCGTAACTTTCAAGTACCGCGATATGACTTAAAAAATTTAAAAAACTAGTTGTATCCACAGTAACATTCACCTGAACTGTGCGAGCAGTCCGAGTGATCAAGACAACTTGTCGCAAGCGCTTGATAAATATCAAACGTAATTTTTTTCTTCATTCACGCATCTTAGGGCGTGGGACATCTTCCAGGGCGTCGGTTCCAACTAGGTAGCCCCAAGCAAAGCAGTCCAAAACATCTGAGTTGGGCGACTATAGTCTAGGCATGTCCGATGAGCGACATCTATGACGATAATGAAGACATACCAATACCACCAGAGCCGGAACGATCTATTAGGAGGAATTAAGCAATAAAAGGAGAAAGATCCTCCAGGATGATGCCCGAACCCTTGATTACAGGGTTCGAGAACCTCAACACTTCGTTGTCCGCCTTTGTTGAGATGCAGGCAGATAAGCTTGAGCAAAGACGCAAAGAAAAAGCACAGCAGTTTGACTTCGAATACCAACGCCTAGAGCAAGAAGCCTTCAAAATCATTATTACTGACGTAGATAAGCTTGGTGCGACGGAGGGTGCGTTGGGGATGAAGATGAAAGATAACACAGGTGACAAGAACATTTTAAAAATAAAAGTTGTACATAACAAAAGTTGTATATAAATAAAAAATAAAAGTTACATACTTAAAAAGTATATCAAAAGTTGTACATAACAAGAGGTGACAAGAATATTTTATTCTGTCAAATAGTTAATGGAAGCACACAAATAATCAAAATTTCCTCAATTTTTGAATAGTAAAGTGTGCAAATCATTTAGAAACGGAGGAGTATTTCTTAGACACATAATTATTGTATTTCTTACTTAAACTTTAATGAAATGTTCAATTATTACGAGTTTAGTAACATGTTTAATTATTTTATTATTTTATATTTTTAGTTTAATTGTTTAAATTAAAATAAGTGTTAAAAATAATATTAAAAATAGAAGAGGGAAAGTCATTTGACTCATTTCTCTATAAAAGAGAAGAAAATGTGAAGGAAAAATTGAAACTAACGTGACACTGAGTTGATGAAAGAGAAAAGTAGAAGAGACAACCTTTAGGCTTAGAGA